ATGCTGCATAACCAATATTAGCATTAAGAGCTGCTTACCTACCATTCTTGTTTTGAGGCTACATGCCTCAAGGCTTTGGTTAACGACCCCAACAGGTAAGTATAAATCTGGTCCATGCTTGGGCCACATGCTGGTTTTGCTCAGTTTTTTTTTTTTATACACCCAGATCAATGGCGCAACTCTGGCCCAACATTGTCAGATGCTACTTCTACAGCTTGAACAGTTCTGGTGTGCACATAGAAATCTTCTAGTTAATCTGTCCAAATGTAGATGAACACAACAGGCCTGTGCCAAGAGGGTTGTTATGCTTTCTTTGTCTTACTCTTTAATGTTTTCTGACTTTCTGGTCTTTTATTTCACAGAGATTCAGTTTATGTAACTTCCACACTAGGTTCTGACCCAGCAGCGACTGCTGGCATGAAGAGGTGAGACGGAGAAAGACTTAAGCTCCTCTCCCACATTCACTGGTCCATCACATTTCAGACACCCTCCTGTTACCCGGTAAGGAGTCTCAGCTCTCGGCCTGAACTCTCTGTGACTCACGGAGCTGCAGAATTGGAGATCTGATGTCATCACTGTGAGTCGTTGTTCCTGCAGCTCACACTCGTCTCATCTGTTGTCAGGACAAACACTGATTTATGATACTTGTGCTTCCTCCCTCTTTTCCTGCTCAGAAGCAGAAAACGACCTGCGGCTGCACTGTCACATCCATCGACTTTGTGTCCCTAATCCACTGTCTGAGAGTGCATCACTGTGACATCATAGGCGAGGGGGCGGCAGCGTAGGATGAGCACGTTTCCCTCTCAGTGGCCTCAGCTGGGGGCTCACAGTGTAACATGACACACACACACAGTCACGGTTGTCCCTGGTAGTGTTGGCTGTTCTCACTTCAGTGGCTGTGGATCAGGAGGAGGAGGTCATCCGCTGATCAGAAGGCCATGGTTCGGTCACAGGCTCCTCTGGTTGAAGTGTTACATGGTTAAAATATTTTTGTATTTTTCATGTATGCACTGTATTCAGACTCAGACTAGGCAGAGGAATTAAAGAGAAAGGTGTCAGTTTGGGGCCATTTATTCGTGAGGTTGAGTCTATAGATCACATGATGCAGCTGTGAGGTGTGCATCTCATGTAGCAGTGATGGTCATAGTCTGGAGGCAGGACTCTTCTCCTGCTGCCACTTCCACTCCACAGCAGCAGCAACTGCATTGATTAACTGCATGAACGAACCTCTGATTAATAGTGTGAACCAGTATTAGACTGGTGGAGACGTGACATCATCAAACCTCCAGCTCTACTGACTGGGATCAGCTGTCATAGTAGACCTGTTACGGCTCCAGGATGAAGAGGGGATTTTGACTCCAACACACACGCACACACTGATAGAGTGATGCTGCACTGAGGGCTGTTTGGTGGGGGAGTGCAGCCTCTTGTGGTCAGTCCGCTGCTGTGCAGTGGATTTTCTTCCTCTGCAATGAACAGCAATCTTGTGACTTCAGAGTTACCTGCATTACAAACTGCTGACAGCATCAAATTAACATATACATACATTCAAACATCCTCTCTTTACTGCAGTGTTCGCTCTGAACTCAGACATACGCACACAATCTCACCCGTTCTTGCTCTCTGTCCCATCGTCCTGGAGCTGCCAGATGACCTTAGGTGACACAAATTAAAACAAGTAGAGGATTTCACTGCTGCGGCACTGGATGGGCACACACACATACACACACACAGTATGTACCTAAAGTGTTCTCACAGAAGTGAGAAGAATGACAGGAATGTATCTAAGAATGGACATTTTGTGATCAACAACATGTGACACAAGAACAAAGGAAGCTCTTATCACAGACATGTGGTTCAGCAGGTTTCAAGTTTGCAGATTCACACACTGAACTGCAGTTTAAATTCATTTTTAGGTTTCTGTATAGCTGAAGCTATAATATGAATTAACTATATTCAAACATTTACATCGAATTGCAGTTGATTGTTCATTTCATTTTCAGTTGTTATGTGTATTACAGATCAGTCCATTGCTTTGCTACTGCTTTTATCAGCAAACACTAGAACACTAGATCAGTCATAGGGGACAATACTCGAGTTCCAGTTGATGTCTACTTGACAAAGTCATACAGCGTTGTTTGTTTTGCAGTTATGACCTGGCAGAAATTTTATATTGGATGTTGTCGTTTGGGTGAACCGGATCGACCGTGGGATCAGCTGCTCTACGTCAGCGAACCTGATTCACGGCTGTTAAAGGAAGCTCTCGGACATAGACCTGTTCCCGTTCTCTGATCTCATTTGTATCTCTTGTCCACCTGTTCTACTTGTCTGTCAGTCTGCTGTCTCTATGGAGATGACGACGCCCCCCGAAGTTTGAACGTATGTTCCACCTGAGCTGCAGCTGCACCTCCGAACTAGGAAGAGGATGATTTGGAGGATGGGCGGGGTGGGGGCGGGGTGCTGACGTGTGTGTGTGTGTGTGTGTAGGGGAGACCCCCCACGTGACTGACTAAATGCCGTTATAGGCTACCGGAGCCTGGACGGAGGTGAAGGCGCAGACCGGAGGAGCGCGGCAGGAAAGAGGAGCGTCCTCAGAGTATCATTATCATCACCACTATCACCACCACCCGGAAGGCAGTCTTCCTCCCCCTTCACCCACACCTCTTAAGCGGCTTCGCATTTCCATACTGCCCGGTGCTCGGGATGAGCTGGCCGGCTGCAGCCGTGTTCGCGGTGCTGACCGCTTGGCTCTGCTGCGGTGCGGCTGAGTGCGCGGCGATAGCGGCGGGTCGAGGCCAACAGCTTAACCAGCGACCTATCATCGGTAAGATTCACCGACCATTAGTGTCCGACAGTGTCAGATGGATGATGACAGATCTTACGTAATAGCCAGAGAATGTTCCAGAATAAGTGCGTGCGTGCGTGCGTGCGTGTGTGTGTGTGTGCCGCCATCATCTACCTTGTTTAAACTGTAGGTGTGTTGCAGATACATTTCTACTATCGATGAACATTGATTATCATTAAAACTCTATAGCCTTTGTATCTTGAATAGATTGATAAAACACAAAATTATAAATTTTTATATTATTGTCTTGTTAATCCATTGAGCCATCATTAAACATGAATATAACCAATGTTGGTTGAGACACTGCAGATGTTTCCAGCTGTTGTCTCCTCTGTCTGACATGCAGCCAACTGACAGAGTGAATCTTCCCAGCACCTGAGCAGGTGCAGGAGGAGAAGTGTCCTGTGTCAAACACACTGAGACCCACACAGAGAAAATAATAAGTAAAAATCCCCTGCAACAATAATCATCATATGACAGTTTGATCAGTAACCTCATCTAGTTATCATAACTCCTCCCTAGGTGTTTCACCCTCTGACAAGTACAGATCTGACTCTGGATCAGTCAGTTTCACCTGATACCTTGAATCATTGTGGGATTCTAAACTTAGACTGTGACCAATGAAGTGTGCTGCCGCGGAAAACAGGAAGGGCTCAGACACCATCATCTGTGGCTCAGGGCTTCAACAATAGAAAGACTGTTTTTAATGCAGATCTATAGATCCCCTGAAGCTGTTGGTACTGAACCAACCTGAGCTCCCTCCTTTCCTCTGTTTGAAGCAACAACAGAAGGGTCTAGTGAAGCCATACACATTTTATGGAGACATGAAAATTCAGGGGTTAAGGTATTTTCCTGTGTGCAGATGTTTACCTGTCTTCTGCTTTCTCCAGGTGTTCTGGCTCAGGAGAACCTTCCAGGAGACCCAGTTGCCCAGGGCTCTTCCTACATCGCTGCCTCCTATGTCAAGTACCTGGAGGGAGCAGGGGCCAGGGTCGTCCCTATCAGGTACCATAACCATGTAATTAGCCTAGATCAGAGGAGAGTTAAATAGACACATACAGTCATCATGAGTCTGGATATATATCCACACACTTTTCACTTCATCTTTCTTTAATGTTTGTTTAGTCCTGTTGGGCCTGAAGTTGGGAAGCCATGACAACTGGACAATTAGATTTATAACTGAACTGACTAGACGTTAGAGCTCAGACATTAATGATACTTCGTAGTTTTAGATTTATAACTCTTTGTGTCACTGACTAGTTTTTAGAAATGATCCAATGAGGGATATGAAGATGTTTTCAGCTCGGCAGGACCGTTTATTGAAATGTGTTTTTCCAGCACGTGCTTTTTCAGTACAGCAGTGGTTCTGCTTAGAATAAAGATGTAATCATAGTTTCCATGGTTACACTGATACTTTGCAACTCAACATTAGTATTGGTCTGTGGCCAGTAGGTGTTGCTCTCTTTAAATGAAACATCAAGGAAATTAATCTGTTCTCAAATCATTCTCCTGAACTGATTCATTGAGATTTATCTCACTGTCACTACAGTCCTATAGATGTAGTAAGTGGGTGTATGATGAGTCTGTATGATTGGGAGAGGGTTAGGTGGTGGCAGTCACTGTGTCAATATTTACCTGCAGGAAGAGACGGTGCTATGTGTACTTTCTCTTTGTTTTCTCACGCTACTACTGCCTCTAACATAAAATCAAAAAGGTATGACAGATGTGAGGAGGACTGTGTTTCACCCCCATTCTTTTTTCCCAGAATCAATCGAACAGAAGAAGAATATGTGATGATCTTCTACTCAGTTAACGGGTGAGTTCGACAGCCTCTGACACAAATTTTCACCCCTGTTCCCTTCCACCTGATGATCACACTGCTGCTATTTCTACCTCTCTCACCTGCTCATGGCTCTGACTATAGACATAAAGTTTAACATTCCCAGGATAACTCTTAATTACCTGGATTGACTAAACCTAACTTTGAAAGTCATATTAACCTGTACTACGAAGCTGGTTCTCACATTGCTCAGGTAAACTTGGGTTTTCCTCTCTGGCTACAAGCATGATGACATGAAAATCTGACCAGATTTTTTTACAAACAGTACACTGTTTGGTAGACACTGAACCATCAAATCAACCAGAGACAGATTAAAAGCATGGATGGGGATGGGACCCATGATCTTTAGTTTACAAGACCACCACCTTACCACTTGGCCACCACACCTCCATGACTAGGTGTGAAGGGGAACTGAGTAATGACAGGAGGCTGTATAAATTTAAAGGCCAAAGTTGTTAGGAGCAGCAGCTGCTGCTGCATTTACAGGTTTAAATAGTTAATGTTGTTTAAACTGCAGGAAATACACTGTAGCTCTGTCACACAGGAGGCTACAGGTGGACAAACACATGTCATTGCAAATATGTTTGTATGAAGCTTAAACGTTTTTCTCATCATGAGATGCTGTAACTTCTTCTTAGACTTAATGCTTTTATTCCAGATCACAGACATAATTATCATGTTTTCACATCAGGAGAAGCCCATATTAACATCAGAGGTTGTGCTGGTCAACTTGGTGTTGGCTCTGGATTATACATAAAATTATGCAAGGTCTTTGTTCAAGCCTATATATTACCTTAATGTACTGAACTGCAGCAGCCGATACGTCTCAGAGGATGTGTGGCTCCAGTGATGTGATCTATGACATGTCATGGTGTTATTTCCCAGTATGCAGCTGATCTGTGCAAATGTTCTCTCCTCAGATTGTTGCTGCCGGGGGGAGACGTCGATCTCCAGACATCTCAGTACAGTCGAGCTGCTAAGATCTTCTACAGTCTTGCTCTGAAGGTAACCTCCAACCAGAGGAGATAGACCCATGGGGGTTGCTGTCATGGTGACACAAATCAGAAGTTTGTTGATTGATTTATTTTATGTGGTGTTCACTGATCCTCACCACAGACCAGGAACAACTTCAGTCTGATCTAAACGCAGGCACAGTCCCAACAAAAAATGGCATCTGTGACTAATGACATTTCTCTTTTACTGTCACCCCTTGCAGGCCAACGATGCTGGGGACTACTTCCCAATCTGGGGCACCTGTCAGGGCTTCCAGCAGCTGTCCGTCCTCACAGCCAACAAGAACCTGCTGACGCTCACCGATACTAAGTCCGTGGCCCTGCCCCTCACCTTCACAACAGGTGAGGGGCCACTCACTTTCCCTGCTCCTTCCATCTGTGAGAGGTTTGATGAGCAGTTGAAACATGTGCTTGAGGTTTACATTTCAGTGGTGTTTTAGATTACTCTCTCCCCCTCCCACTGGTTGACAGAATCTCTTACATATGAAACCATGACAGTGTGAATCTGTGACTTTATGAGACTGTCATTGGTTCCAGGCAGTGATGGACAGTCACCCATGATCTTTGGTTTACAAGACCAACACCTTACCACTTGGCCACCACGCCTCCATGTTTAGGTGTGAAGGGGAACTGAACAATGACATGTTCAGAGCCTTAGTTATTGGCAACACACGTTCCTCCTTCATGATGATAGATTCTTGCATTTCATCCACAGTTTCTGAGCAGTGAAGGACGTCAGAACCCTCAAAGCAGTGAAGAATCTCTTGGTCATACATGTTTAGATCATGAAATAACTAAGACTGACTGACTTAGATTGGACGTCTGACTACATAAAGTCACAGAGATGAATCTCCATTATTAACATCATAGCTATAGATCAAAGGTATGGATGGGGATTGAACCCATGATCTTTGGTTTACAAGACCAATGCCTTACCACTTGGCCACCACACCTTCTCTGGGTGGATAGAAGGGGAGGTCTCTGTAGTGTGTTGACAACAGCACAAGTAAACTTGGTCTAAATATGTTTAATTGTTCTACAGTAACAACAGTCATACAGTTATTATTAATTTAACGGTTTAACAAACTTTCATTTGAGGAGGAGTAGGAAACTGCCGATGCCAGTAGATTCCAGATTTTTATCATGTTATTTTTTAAGAAAGGGATATGGGGAGTAGCAGGTGAGTCCAAGTGTCTCACTGGTTCTCCATTTGGGGACCTGCATATATTTAACTGCAACAGTGCAGAATCACATGTGCATTTATTTATTTTAGACAGTTAGTGGTGGGTTTTCCTTTTACAGGAATTCTGCTAGGGATACTTCTAAAGAGCAAGTCACCCTAATGTTCAGATGTGTTGAGATGTGATCTGTACTGAGGCCTCAGCACTGTCACTCATGGTGCTCAGAGTGGTGTGTGTGTGGGCAGAGCCTACGCTAAAGTGGTCACTGTGTTTATGACGGCCTTCTGTCTTGTACTATGTTCTTAGTTCATTGGATGTTTGTGGTTTTCATGCTTGATGCTTTGTGACTGATTTTCTTTAGTACTGGCACCAAATCACCTAAAGCACTAGCACAGCTTCTCACTGTTTGTACAGCACCCTGCAGAACTTGGACTTGTGCTTATTTGTTTTAGACAGTTAGTGGTGGGATTCCTTTTATAGGAATCCTGCTAGAAAAACTTCTAAAGAGTCAGTCTCCCTGATGTTCCCTCGTGTTGAGATGTGATCTGTACTGAGGCCTCAGCACTGTCACTCATGGTGCTCAGAATGGTGTGTGTGTGTGTGGACGGAGCCTACACTAAAGTGGTCACTGTGTTCATCATGACAGCCTTTTGTCTTGTATAATGTTCCTAGTTCATTGGGTGCTTGTGGTTTTGCTTTGTGACTGATTTTCTTTGGTACTGGCACCAAATCACCTGAAGCACTAGTACAGCTTCTTACTGTTTGCACAGCAACCTGCAGAACTTGAGCTTATTTGTTTTAGACAGTTAGTGGTGGGATTCCTTTTATAGGAATCCTGCTAGAAAAACTTCTAAGAGGCAAGTCATCCTGATGCGCCCTTGTATTGAGATGTGATCTGTACTGAGGCCTCAGCACTGTCACTCATGGTGCTCAGAATGGTGTGTGTGTGTGTGTGTGTGTGTGGGGCGGACCCTACACAAAAGTGGTCACTGTGTTCATCATGACAGCCTTTTGTCTTGTACAATGTTCCTAGTTCATTGGGTGCTTGTGGTTTTGCTTTGTGACTGATTTTCTTTGGTACTGGCACCAAATCACCTGAAGCACTAGTACAGCTCTTACTGTTTGCACAGCAACCTGCAGAACTTGAGCTTATTTGTTTTAGACAGTTAGTGGTGGGATTCCTTTTATAGGAATCCTGCTGGAAAAACTTCTAAAGAGTCAGTCTCCTTGATGCACCCTTGTGTTGAGATGTGATCTGTACTGAGGCCTCAGCACTGTCACTCATGGTGCTCAGAATGGTGTGTGTGTGTGGGTGGAGCCTACGCTAAAGTGGTCACTGTGTTCATCATGACAGCCTTTTGTCTTGTACAATGTTCCTAGTTCATTGGGTGTTTGTGGTTTTGCTTTGTGACTGAATTTCTTTGGTACTGGCACCAAATCACCTGAAGCACTAGTACAACTTCTTACTGTTTGTACAGCAACCTGCAGAACTTGAGCTTATTTGTCTTAGACAGTTAGTGGTGGGATTCCTTTTATAGGAACCCTGCTAGAAAAACTTCTAAAGAGTCTGTCTCCCTGATGTGGCCTTGTGTTGAGATGTGATCTGTACTGAGGCCTCAGCACTGTCACTCATGGTGCTCAGAGTGGTGTGTGTGTGGGTGGAGCCTACGCTAAAGTGGTCACTGTGTTCAGCATGATACAGCCTCTTGCACAGCCTCTCATTGTTTGTAAAGTAACCTTCCACAGAAATTTAACTTGCATTTATTTGTTTTAGAGAGTTCTAAATTCTAAGGAACAAATCATCCAAATGTTTAACTTAAATGCAATGTAATCTGTACTGAGTAGGCATGGATGGGGACTGAACCCATGATTTTTGGTTTACAAGACCAACACCTTACCTCTTAGCCACAAACCAAACCTCTATGTATAGGTGTGAATGGGAACTAACTGTAACTGAGCAATGACATGAAGATGTGTAAAGGTAAGAGGTTATTAGGAGCTGCTGCTGAATTCATAGATTTAAATAGTTGATGTTGTTTAAACTACAGGGAATACATTGCAGCTTTGTCACTCAGGAAGCAACAGGTGGACAAACACATGTCTTTAATATTTATTTATACTTATTGTTGTTTTCTGGTGGTGACACCAGAAAAAAATGTTTGCATAAAACTTAAACGTTTTTCTTATCATGAGACGCTGTCACTTCTTCTTAGACTTCATACAGCAGTTATGCCAGATCACTGTGGTCAGCCAGGAGGTGGGGCCTGTGACTGTATTAGCTTGAGTGTGTGTGTGTGGTTTAAACTCTGACTGCTGAATCACAGCAGAATATTTTACTCCTTATTTAGTCAGTAGTGAAGTAGCTCACAGGAGTGTCAGTCACGCTGCTGAGGATAGAGCCTTGTAGGCAGATCCTCAATGACCAATCACAATGTAAAGATTCATGAATAAATGTGGGGTTGAGCAGGAAACATAATCATTCTTGATCTCTAGATCACCACTTGGCCACCACACCTTGTCTGGGGGATGGAAGGGGAGGTCTTTGTAGTAACAAGTGTGTTGACAGCACATAAACTTGGTCTAAAATAGGTATAATTGTTCTACAGTAACAACAGACACACAGACACACAGTTATTATTAATTCAAAAGTTTGACAAACTTTCATTCCAGAGATTCCAGATTTTACACCGTTATATTGTCAGGGAAGGAATATGGTGAGTAGTGGTCCAAGTGTGTCACTGGTTCCCCATTATGGGACCTGGGGACCTGCCCAGAACATTGTCCACTCAGAAATGATGAAATACAGTTTAACAATCCAATTCCACAAAGTTCAGTGTTTTTGGTTGTTTTTTGTTTCCGTGTTTTCAGGAAAATTGATGTTCTATATATAATATTATTGCTAAATCTTTCTTTAGAGGATGTTTAAAAATTTTAGCCACTACAAAAAAACAGCTGCAGCACCAGCCCCTGGCATAACTTCCTCATGTATTTCCATAACAGTGCAGGGTCTCTGTGTATTTATTTATTATAGACAGTTAGTGGTGGCTAGAAAAACTTCTAAAGAGCAAATACTCCTGATGCTCCCTTGTGTTCAGATGTGATCTGGACTTAGGCCTCAGCACCATCACTTGTGGTGTTCAGAGAGGTGGGGCTATGGGGGGAGCCTACGCTAATAAAAGACACTAGAGAGCTGTCACACACATGAGGCTAAGTGAACCATGTGGTTCAGTCCAGCCACAATGATTAGGATCAGTAAAGCCCACTAACTAAAAAATGTTGTCCTTTAATCACCTGTTATTAACTTCTGTTCATCTGCCTTCTCCTCCTCCTCCTCCACACTGATCCATGTCTGTCCTCCAGTGGCCAAATCCAGCCGTCTGTTCCAGGGCTTCCCCAAAGATCTGCTGCAGTCTTTGTCCGAGGAGAACATCACGTCCAACTTTCACAGCTGGAGTCTGTCCATCCAGGTCTGTCCCTCTCCTCTGAATTTATCAACTAAAAGTCTTAGCTGCTTGTCTGAGGTTAAAGGATTGGGGATTGAACCCATGATAGTCAAGCCCTACAGGAGCCTCAACAGGAAAATGAGAAGAGAAGTATTCCAGATGTTTCCACATGTGGTTTTAAACCAGGTTAAAGTAAGATTTGATTATTTCTCCCTATAAAAACGTTAATAGAGGATCTTTAACAGATGGAGCTTGGACATCGTTGCATCGTTGTGCAGGTCTGTGAAGATCATCATTTCATTGATGAGTTTCCCTCCATATTCTCAGTTTCTAGATGAACACAACATTCTTCTTGATAAACACTAGTCTTCCATCCCACTGACTGTCCTCAGTGTGTCAGACTAAGTTGTTTTGCAGGTTATCAAGTGGCGTACAAAACTGTACAAGATCTCATCATATATACTATATATAAATTTTAATGGATGGTGATCAAACCCATGAACTATGGTGTACAACGCCTTACCACTTGACCACCACACCTCTTTCAGGAGTTGCACTGAGGTGGATGATGATCAGGTGGTGATGACCTCAGTGTTGGGCTTTGAACACAGGTTTATGTGCTGTGTGACAGGTGATATCCCTGTGGTCCAGTGTAGTGACTGACATTCAGAGTCAGTGTATTTGATGCTACATTAACGCTGAGTGTTTGATCAACAGAACTACACCCGGAACACTAAGCTGAAGAGGTTCTACAGGATCCTGACCACCAACAACGACGGCAAGAAGGAGTTCATCTCCACCATGGAAGGTGACGACCGAGACAACACCTCCATTACCTTCATCAGTTCACCTTTCAGTAGATTAATTATTTAGATTCAGTGTCACTGTGTGTCCTCCTCCCTCCTCCTCAGCTTATCGTTACCCGTTCTATGCCGTCCAGTGGCATCCAGAGAAAAGTCCCTTTGAGTGGATTGACAAGTCGGGGATGGTCCATTCCACCTCCTCCGTCAAGGCCAGTTTCTACACGGCCAGCTTCTTTGTCTCTGAGGGTAACACCTTCTCCCACAGCACCTCTATCTCCTCCTGCTCCTACACCTGAACACCTCCAGCTCCTCTCTGTGTCCTCTACTCCATCTTTATCTCACTGATATATGATCAGTTTGTCTGAAATATTCTATATACTATTTTTATATTTATAAATCCTATTTTTTCTGAAGAGTTCACAGAGTTTAGATGTTGAATGGTTTCTCATGCTGAGTCTTAAACTACTGAGTTAAGTTTCTGTTCTGGGGCTTTCATGCCGCAGGATCTTCACCAACAGTTCATTCATCCCCTGTGGAGAGTTAGGGTTAGGGTTAGTTTCACATCAGTGTGTGAAGACGTGTGGTTTATTTGAACTGAAATTAGAGAAATAACAACCCCGAGGAAAGTTTGCATTTCAAATGCAGGACACAGCATCAACGAGATTAACTAAAGTGGCTTTAAAGAAAAGACATCAGTAAACAGTTAATCACTAAGTCCTTGTTCTTCTTCTTCCTCCCTCCTGTTCCTTCAGCCATGAAGAACCACCACCACTTCTCCAGCCTCAGGAAGAGGAGAGAGCTCTAATCTACAACTTCTCTCCAGTTTTCGCTGGTATCCATGCTGTCTTCATCCAGAACTACTACTTTGACTGATGAACACCACTGAGCAGGAAACAGGCCTGAGATCAATCTCATCACAAACATCTGTAAATCCAGTCCACTTTGTCACGTCCAGCAGCCTCCGACATCACATCAAGACTCAGCAGTTTATCTGATCTGAACAGTAACGTGAATATAAATGCAAACATTTACTTGAATGTGCCAACAGTGGAAACAGGTTTTATTTGTCAAATATCATAAAACAAAAAAATCAAATATGTTGGATGGAAAAGTTATTTATATTTATATTTGTCTCACAGTGAGGTTAAGGTAGGGAGACAGACCTGTGAACACAGAGGAATTGATAGGTGCATTTTCTTCAACAGGGAATTATCTTAACTTGTCAAACGTCTCCTCCTTTCAGTCAGTCACAGGAGTTTGTAAATGTGGATTCAACAGTTTTTATTGAAATGTCACAACAGACATGAACTGTGTGTTTCTGATGAAAATGGAAAATTCTTTAAATCATATGTATATTTGTGGATTACCATCATATGTATTAAGAAATATTTGTGTGTACATCAGAGACCCATTTGTGAATTTATATGTTGATTCTTTTTCCCTTTATATAGAGTGAGATATTTTAGTGGAATGAGTCATTTACATATAAACCACAAAAGACATCTGTGAATCCCTCTGTGTGCATTGGTTCATTATGACTCTCATCTGAGTTCTTCAACAACCAGAAACCACAGTGACAGCATTCACTCTGCATTTATACATATTTATACATCCACGAGGTTCACATTTAGGAACAATAATAATAACAGAATGATTTAGAATCCGTTATACAGTCTGCTGCAGTTATGCAGTCAACATTTCTGATCTGTCTTCCATCAACACTGTCTCAGATCTAAACCACGTTCAGTGTCTGACTCCTTTATGATAAGTGTCTTATTTCCTCTGCTGTTTATCCTCTTCAACCATGAACAACCCACTATAACAAACCAGTCTCAGACTATCAAACATATAATGCACATAATCTCATATCCGCTGTTTTTGTTTTGCTTCTTTACACAAATGGCCAAAGTCTAAATAAATAGACAAACAAGTAAAATCCTTTGTTTCTTTTTTCTTTGTTATTTTAATAAAAAACATGAAATGAAGTTGCCTTATCTTAACAGAGGTTGTCATCCTATAAATGTTTGAGGTCTCTGATAGGTCAGAACTTGACCCATGACCTCAATACATCCACAATCAGACACGGACCTGCAGAGATCGTTTTTTCTGCACAAACTAAATTTATATGTAGGTGTGTTTCTGACAGTTTTTTTCTACAGAACGTTTATCAAGTCAAGTTTCACTTTTTGTTTAATCTCATTTTATTGAAACTTTGCAGCACAAACAAAAATCATCCGAGTTTGTATATGTCAAATATGCATGAGAAATCTCCACTAGATGGCGCTATGACTCCACTGAATGTCTCACTGTCAGTGTGGAGAGACTGGACTGAATGGGAGCAGGCTGAGCCACAGGTGAGCTCAAGGGGCCTGAGGGTACAATCACTTGGCCCACAAACTATAGGGTAATTGATTCTGTGAGGGAGGAAAGCACCATAGTACAACTTGCCCCCTGTGGCACAGATGCTGTTGCCCTGAGGTAAATATCCGAGACAAGGGCTTGTTAAATATTTAATATTTAAGGTGTTTGGAGATATTTCCTCCTTTTTTTTCAACACTTGTTTTACACAATGTTGAATATAAAAAGTATATAAATTACCTTATGAAACATAAGCCACACCCACATGTCTACACATCTCTTTCACTTCCTGTTGAACTTCAGGAGGAAGAGACTGCAGCATGAACAAAATGTCAGGCCTCAAGATCTCAACACCAGCTCTTTCATTTTTCAATATTGTGTAGGTGTATAAATCATAGATCTTTGATTTCAACTCATGAGAAATCTGATTCATTTGTTAAAGTTAAATATGTAATTTAAACTGAGAATTGTTTGATGGATAAAAACTCAGCGATTGTGACTCTTTGGCTCTTTGTGTCTATGAAACAGTTTCCACATGTAAATGCACTGTGGAATCTGACGAATGAAGCTCAGTGATTTTAATCACACATTGGATCAGAACTGTGGCCATTTATATATTTGTTCACTGAGAAAAAAGTGTTTTTTTTTTTTAGAGTTTCCTTATTAGTTCATTAAATAACTAAATGTCCTCATTGAGACACAAGGACATGATGGACCAATGAGAGCTCAGTGAGTTCTTTGAGGCAGTGAGCATATTGATCTCCACACATGCGCGCACCCACTCACACACACACAGACACACACACACACAGCTCTGCGCAGCTCTGACATATGATTTACATAGGAGGAGATGAGAAGCCTCCACACCTGCACAACAGAAGAAGAAGAATCTGCTTTAGTGCAGTCTTTTGGGAACATGGGAAGTGATCCACCACTTCAAGCCTGAAAATTTAGGTGAGGAACCTGTAGATGACGAATGATGTGACTTCCTGGAGGTGTGGTGGGCAAGTGGTGAGGCGCTGGTCTCCCCCTGTTTTGAAGTGCGGTCTGATGTACATTTTCTATTTAGCTGAGAAGGAGACAGTTTTTATTTCAATACATGTCAGTTTATATTATCTATAAAGTATCAGTGAGTCAAGGTGTTTTACTCCAATGAGAAAAATCTAAATACATAAACATTCAACACCAGTAAAGAAACGCCACCTCACACATGAATGACAACACCTGTCAGTGGATCACCATTGTAACCACTGAATATTCAGGCGAGATCCTGTAGGTGTTACAGAGAGGCGTGGTGGCCAAGTGGTAAGGCGTTGGTCTCGTAAACAAAGATCATGGGTTCGATCCCCATCCATGCCTGACACTGATACAGGGTTTCATTTGGCTAAGACTGGTCTTATGGGAAGAACAAAATCATCCACTGTCAGCACCAAGACGCCACCATCTGTGTCAGTATCAACAAGACAATGGTGAAATGGAGCTTTAATGTTCACACATGCACAAGATATCATCACTGTGAATTAACCTGCATTACACAACGTTGAGAGAGTGTGACGAAGTGTGTGTATGCAGTGCACACACATGTGTATGTGGTGATTGTTGGTGATGCTGCTGTATCTAATTTATTTTCATGCAGAGAAACGAGCTGAAACTGCAAATGTAAGTTTTTCATACACAACCTAACAAATATATCTTAAGTTTGAAAACAGTGAGTTACTATTAGTTAGTATTCTAGTTTGATTTCTAATAAGAAAAGAACAGACTGTGACTTCAACTGTTTGTATTTCAGTGCACAGTAAATCTTCCAGCCTGTAACTGCTCTCTGATCAGTTCTGACTTATTATAAATAATGATTTGGTGGTGTAGCCTCCTCCGTTGTTTCTCTGACATATTCACACTCTCCACTGAGTTTGTGCAAAACAGGAGGCAATGCATAAGGTGGGAGGTGACCTCTGACCTCAGAGGGTTGTTAAGTCCAGACAGCAGGAGAGAGTGAAACAGCTGGATCAGACTGAACGATGAGCAAGTGAGTCCCACTGAGTCCAGCTCCATTAGAGCTGATTTATGGAGCTTATTAATTATTCAGTTGAGAGGACAGGGACCAATAAAGTTTAATTTAAGAAGAGCGACGACACTCAACTTTCTCATACTCAGAGAGGGGTGTTCATTTTCTCTGCTTCAGCTTCAACCACACCCCCCCCCCCCCCCCCCCCCCCCCCCCACACACACACACACACACACACACACCAGGGATCATGCTCATCCAACTGTATACTTTACTTTATTGTCATTGTTATAAATACCACAATATAATTAGCAACAAGATGTCATTAGAGCAACACATGTACAGGCATATATCACAGTGACAAAAAAAAATAGGGCTATCCTAAGGGCAATCCCATATTCCATGCAAAAAAGTGCAAAAGGAGCAGCAGTACAGTGGCCATGTTGGGTGTGGGCAGAGAAGGGGTGATGATTGAGATATGTAAATGTTGTATGTTGCAGGAATGCAAAGCTCACCACTTCACAGTTATTGTAATGATGGGTGTAGTGTGTGAGGGCAGGCGCAGAAAGGGGGTGGTTGGTCGTTCATTTTGGTGGTTCTGGTGCATATGGACCTGAACCTTCTCCCTAAGGGCAGCAGTCGGAACAGGTGGTGTGCAGGGTGGTGCTGGTCACGCAGGATGGTGTGCACCCTACAGTGGCACTGGGTGGTGTAGTTGGTGCTGATCTCCAAGTGGCTGGTCCACAGGACTTTCCCTGCTGTTTGAGATGAGACAGTCTGGATGAGACAAGATAATTTGAGATGTAATTGCAGCTCATCCTGCTGGTGAACATATAGTTGTATGTGTGTGTGCATTAAAGCATCATTCACAGAAAGGAGTTAAAACCTGAGGTAACATTAATGCTCCTCCATACAGTATAAAAGTAGATGTTCATATTATTGTAAGCCTCCCTGCTGGACACTGTGGGGTGTTACAGGCTATGTCCTTTGCTTTGTATTCAACACTGCAGTGTTATCAGGAGCTCTCTCAGGTGAGGCAGTGTGACAAAATAAAAGTACTTTAGCCAGAGAGATTCATTCTCATTCATTACGGACATCCCTTAATGATCCACTTACCAGTTAGTCTGATTATCAAAATAGCACAAACTATTAACCCACAGTCTCACACACCACATCACTGCTCATTCTACTTATAAAAGACATCTTAATCTGTTGGTCACAAAATAAAACAACAGTAACAAAAAATATCTAAAATGGTTCAATATTTTAATAGCAAACAGCAGAAGATGGATAAAAATAGAGCTACAGAGAGAGAGATGAGGAGAGAGAGAGAGAGAGAGGAAAGGGATTATTGGTAATTGAAAGATAAATGGTAATCATCCAGAAGGGTGAGAGATTAGAGCTCTCCTTTTTCATTTAGGTGGCAGCACATGGGAGGGAGGAAGGAGGGGAGAGAGAGAGGAGAGAGAGAGAGAGAGGAGAGAGAGAGAGAGAGAGAGAGTGGTGCTTGGGGACAGTAAGAGATTGAGCAGGAGAACAAAGGGGAAAAGTGAGAGAGACGATTGGAGGAGAGATCTGCTCAATTTTCACTTTTCTCCTCTCATCTTTCTTCATAATAGAAACTGTCAATCAGAGACGACCTGCTCCTCCACTCATCTCTCTCTCTCTCTCTCTCCCTCTCTCTCTCTATGTGTCCACTCCACTCATCTGTCTGATCACTCACGTCTCACTCATCATCCACAAATCACCTTAGAGGAATATTACAATTAAAAGTTTTTTTCTTGCTCTTTTGTCCTTTTTCTGCTCCCATCATCAGTCTCGTGAACTCACGTCTTGTTTCTCTTGTCAAAATGTTTTACTCACAATCAGCTTCTGATTTATTTGGCGTCGGTAAAACCTGCTCAGGATGTTCTCTAATCTAATCTAATCTTACCTCTGGAGTGCCGTGACAGGAAAAAAACCTCTGAGTTTACATCATTCATCTATTTTCCACTGATGAACTGTGACAGCATCTCCGTCATCAAGTACACATAAACTCTATGTAAAGATAAATCCACGTGTTAAACTGCCACTCCGTCCATGGCTCATGGAGACAGGAAGAATCAGGCCCTCCTCCTCCTCCTCTTTGTGGTTTCATGGATTCAGCCTAATGAAGAATATCCTCCTCTCCTCTGCAGGTTCACAGAGTGATGTTCTTTCTCTCTCGTCCTCCATTTTTCTCCACTGAGGACAACTGAAGAAAAATGCCAACGAGGAAGTGTTCTCAGTTTTGTCTCCTCCTGTCTTCTTTTTCATCTTCTTCTTTTTTGCTGCTCCTCACACATCTTTACATACACTATGCAGATTTCTTTCTGAGTAGCAGCCTTGAAGCTTCAAAACATGAAATGTACAAAAATGTACAAATAAAACAGACAGACAGATCAACAGGTGTTTTGAATGCCACAGTCTGAAAGCAACACGAGACGAAACAATAAACAGAAACATATATAAGTCTGATACACATAACTGGTTACCATGAGGTTCAAAACCCATAGAACACTATTAGATGTTTTCAGTATTTTATCTATTTACCATTTTAAGGCATGGATGGGGATCAAACCATGATCTTTGGTTTACGAGACTACACCTTACCACTTGCCACCACACCCCTGGACTTCTTCGTCCTAAAAGCAAATGCGTCGGATGAATGATATCCAGGCTCAGGGAGCACTGACACGTCCTCTCTCTGGTTTATGTTAAACATTCAAACTTAACAGCTCCACAGAACCTGCAGGTCGTCTTTCTCATCCTCCAGCAACAGACTTTCATCTCCTTGCATTTTTACAGCTTGTCATTCAACTTTGTGCTCCTCAGGTAGTTCACTATTTAATGGTTCATAAAGGAACCTCAATGCTCCATTTCACCATTATCTGATTGAAACTCTCATAGATGGTAGTGTCTTGGTGCTGACAGTGGATGATTTCGCTTTATAAGACCGTTTTAGCCAAATCAAACGCTGCTGCGTCAGAGGACACCATTGAGGACAGGAGGTTCCTTAAAGGCATGGATGGGGATCGAACCCATGATCTTTGGTTTACGAGACCAACGCCTTACCACTTGGCCACCACGCCTCCCTGCATCAGCTACAGGATCTCACCTGAATATTCAGTGGTTACGATGGTGATCCACAGACAGGTGATGTTGTTATTCAGTGTGAGGTGTGTGTTCTTACTGCACCTTAAAGTTACATATATTTATGTATTTAGATTTTTGTCATCAGAGTAAAACACCTTGACTCACTGATACTTTATATATGATGGAAATAACTGACACATATTGAAAAATACAACCTCTGTCTCCTTCTCGGCTTAATAGAAAATGTACATCAGACAGCACTTTAAAACAGGAATGGAGGGTGTGGGTGGGTGTGGTGGGATGGTGGTGGTGAAGTGGTGGGTGGGGTGGACTGGTGGATCACTTCCAAAAGTGCGCTAAAGCAGATTCTTCCTCTTCTGTTGTGCAGGTGTGGAGGCTCCTCGTCTCCTCCCTTGTGATATCATATGTCAGAGCTGTGCACAATCAAAAGCTGTTGCCTGCATACTCAGCAGGTGTATGTGTGTGTGTGTGTGTGTGTGTGCGCGCATGTGTGTGTGCATGTGTGTGTATGCGTGTGTGTTAAATGCCAGCCCGAGAGAGGATGAGAATTGGAAGCAG